GTACGAGAGATTTGGGACGAAAACGAGTACGATGACAAACATGGGGATTTTACAAGATGTGTGCGAATCTCTAGGTTAAACTATCTAACGTACGAATGACGGACACTCTCTGGTCCAATTAACGCTCCTGACGACTTGACTAATTTTTTATATACGTAGTTGTATTATTATACTCCAAGAGAATTCCCTTCTCCTTTTGCTCTTCCGTTTTTTTCTTTTGAAAAAATGACGCCGCGCCAAATAAAAAAAGAAACACGTGCGTGTCCTTCGAAAATCAGCTGTTCAAAATTCTGATTCGATTGTTCTAACGAGCGAAATGTACTAAAATCTTCCGTACAACCAACCGGAGATTCATTCGTTTCCGAATCAAAATTCATGCTGGATGGAAGCAACAAGTTGAAAAAAAGAATCTTCGTTGCAGCGGTGTCTTTCATTTGAAGACGTATCTTTTTGGCCTAGTCCTACAGTACTTGTACAGAACTCATTTTCTCTTTTCAATGCAGATTGAATTCCAAGAGACACACCTCCTGTGAACCAGCAAGAGGCTTCCTTCCTGTTGCTGTGGTTGTTTATTTGGAATAGAAATGAGAGACGAAGAGCACGACACAATCATGTCGTGCAGCAGCAGCAACAACAGTAACAACAACAAGATGTACTTTCTCTTGTGCTTGTGGGCAGCAATGCTGAATCATTCCGAGTCATTTGCTTCTCCCCCAAGAACTAGAATTTCGTTGCAACAATATCCACAACAAGACGCAAACAATCCATCCTTCACGTCATCATTGTTGTCATTAAACGTCCACACAGTCCGAGACGCCGACATGTACGAAATGATGATGGGGGGAGAACGCTACGAAATGGTCCCACTTCCAGATTCCATGCTCCAAACCACGCTCTTTGTTGGAAACTTGAACGAGTTTGTGCACGACGACGACCTCTCCCGACTCTTTGCCCCCGTAACCGAATGGTCCTCCATTCCCGCCTGCGTGGTCCGCAAACCCAACATGGCCTCCCTCAAGTATGGATTTGTCACCTTTCCTACCGAAGAACAAAAGAATCAAGCCCTCTTGAGATTTCACAATGCAGAACTTCAAGGTAAGCCCCTCAAGGTGGAAGAGATTCGAGATCATCCCAAAAAGGGACGGGTCCGGGTTCCCGAAAAGATGGTGGCCTATGTCATTGGTGGAATCAAGAATGGCAGCAAGTCCTCTCGAAAGAATCAAGTCAATACCATGCGACAAGTACGCAGTCAGACCAAATTGCAAAAGAAGATTAAACGAAAGGAAAAGATCAAGAATAAGCGCAACAACAAGACGAAACCCTTTTCCCATCCTGCCACGACTTCCACTATGATGATGGACAGTGTTCCTGAAGTCCAAGTCCAAATCCAAATCAACGAGCCACCACCACCAACAAAAAAGCAACGGCGTCCCTCCCAACAAAAAGCAGAACGATACAAACTAACCAGCAAGGAACAAGAAGAACTCCAACGAGCGCTCCGCAAAGGCTATGTCACCTTGGAAGGCACGGGCTTTCGGCGGGGTCGAAAATCCTCCAACTTGGCCTGTGCTCATCGGCAATGGTGTTGTTTGCAAGCCTCCAAGCCACAGATTGTCTTGTGCAAGGCCAGTGGGGGAAGGCCTTTGGATTGTCTCATTGTCGATTTGAGTCCACTCCGCGAACGACTCTTATTATTATTATTACAGCATAATGATGACGACGATGATGGTGTAGTGCTCGAGAATGCTGTTGTCCACCACAACCACAACAACAATGGTTTTCTTCTCGGGGAACAAGAAGAAGAACAAGAAGAACAAGAAAACCAAGAGGAGGAATCAACAACCTCCGACAATGAATTGTTGTGGAGGCTGTGGAATGGACCTATCATTCAAGCGGCCCAAAATGCGGGGATGGAACTACGCACCGATTACATTCAAGACAATACATTGAGTGATTTGAGTGCATTCCAAGACTTGCAAGACGAATTGGTGGGCTTTGGAAATTTGCCCATTTCCCAACTACCGTCCATTAGCATGGGGGTCTTTGAAGGAGAACGGAGTCAAGCCAAGGCCATGGCACGAGAATTGGCAAACTTGTGGGAAATTCCACAACTTGATAATGGTGGTGGTGGTGGTGGTGCTGTTTGTGGTGTTGTGACTAGTGGTGGTGGTGGTGGAGATAAGATGGTGTACAGCAGTAAGAACGGCAATCACTCGAAACCCAACAAGAAATTCAAACGGTCCGACCACAACAGTCAAAGGCGACAGAGGAGGCAAAGAGAAAATGACTTTTTCTTCTAATAACCATGCAAAAGAGCTGAAAGTCTTTGTTGATTATTAATATGTAGCCAACAAGTGTAGTGTATAAAATGAATGATGATAGAGTGATAAAGTTTATTTCAGTTGCAGTATTTTTTCCATTACACTCGTAGTCCTGATAGAAATAAATGATACTTTACAGTACTACTATAGCTTATGAATTGTTGTTTAAGTCTACTGAGAGCAACAGACCCTCAATATCTGCTTCTTTCACTATTTACCTTTGCTGTTCTTTTTGGGTTTCAGTATCCTATCATCATCTGCAGAATTGCATATCTTTGTTTTCCCAGCAGAATTTTAGTGGTTGCGGCTGGTCCGTTTGTATCATTATTGTGAAAAGTGGTGGTGATTATTACACACGGTTGATTCATTCCTCTTGGCTTGTCTTGTTTGGATGACCTGTTTTCTTTCAGACGACCTGCTGGCTCGTATCTTTGTAAAAAGTGGTGACTGCACAATACAATGATCCTAGATAGATTCATTTCACCCACGAATTCATTAGTTCATTCAATGCGACTCCCCATAGGAGTTTTGATTCACCCATTCATTCTGTCGAGTTCCTGGCGGCTGTTGCTTATATTGGATTTGGAATTCTATCCAGGAGACGCAAAGGTGAGCGAGTTTTGGCAATTGCAGGTTTTTTGTGTTGACAAGCTATGCAGAATAATCTTTCGTCACAGCTCTACCCTTTCTTCCGTTCTGATATCGTCCGTGGTGTCTTCACCTTTCTGTTCTGGATATGCGGATTCATCGTGAATGTGAATCGAGCTTTCTGTATTCAAATTGGTATCGTCTTTGGGCACTTCGCCGTCTGTCGTTTCGAGGTTGCTTGCAGTATCCTCACTGCGATCAGAAGGTTGGATAACGAAGTCTTCAACATTTTCAACACTATCCTCGTCGTCCGTTTGCAAGGGTCGCTGAACTTTTCGATTATCCTCTTCTTTTATTTGCGATTCACTTTGCGACGATTGCTCGGATGAAACTATAAATGATTCATCAAAAATAATAGTTTCTACCGACTCCTCCTCAACAGGTTGTTGTATTAGAATTTTCTGTCGTTGTTGCCAACGTTTTCGGCGCGATGATAGAGTTCCTTTTTGCGCTTTCCGATTGAGGAAGTCTTCTTGCGCTTGTCTCTGTGCATCTCGAAGGAGAGTACTGAAGAGCGCTGTAAAGAGAAAAATGACCATGACTGCAACAAAGTCTCGTAGAGGAGATGCCGCAACTCGCACGTTCCTTCTCCGCCTTGGTCTCCGTGATACCTTCCCACGTTTCCGTTCGATAGCTGCTTCATCAAACGAAACTCTCTTTTTCGTTTTCGGGCGTTCTCTCTTCTGTGATGGCCATTTCAATATAGCGTTCTTCAGTGTTGGTGTGGATGGTAGTTGCACACTACTAGTAGAACTCTCATCATTCGATTGACTTCCATGAATTGTTGGTAGATCTGTTTCATCTTGACTTAATGATAATTTTCCGCTATCTTCTTCTCCTTCGAATTCAATATTCCCAGTAAGAAGGGAGCTTGCCATGGTGGAGACTTTTGAAACTGTGCAGTACCCCAAAGTTTCTCCTGTTCAACATACCTCATACTCCTGTTTTTTAGTTTTGCGTTTGACAGTCGTCAGTCGTGACGACGCAATCGACCGTCTGAACCTACAGTATTCTTGCACTCTCTAGCCATCGTCTTGCGGTCAACCCACCCCGCCTGTCGGTCGCACGTAAACGAGCGAAGGGTCTCCCTGAGACTCTGAGGGCCTGGCAAACAAATTTTTCTCTACAGATGCCATCAGTTCCGCTCTTCTTCTGCTGGGGCAAACAGGCATCTTCGTTGGAATTTACATTGGAAGAATCTGCTAAAGCAATGGTTCTGCCACTACCAAGCTTCAAGGATGCTGCTTTGATAGCCTTGGCTTCAATTGCCTCTAGCCTTTCATGAATGAATTCAGTCCGTGTCAATTGGTCGTCAACAGTCAACGTGGATGTG